TTTGGCGGGTCCAGGCTGGGGATTCGAACTCGCCACCTTAGGTGTACGTGGCTGGCACCTTAGCCGGTTGAGCCACAGGCGCCGAGCCCTGTAAGATTTTTGAAACAGAAAAGAATGAAAAGGGAAAGCATATTTTCCTTTTCAAATATTATTTCTAGGTAGAAGAAAATCATTCTTTAAAAAATTCCTTTTCTTTATAATTAAGTTGGAAGAATTATGACAGATACGAAATAGGCAAATGTTAGAAAAAACAAAGACTTTCTCCTTCCTCCGAATAAAGCACTATTAATAAAACAGAAATGTTATTTACATTAATTTTCTTCCCTTTCCTTAGTATTTAAAGTTGAAAGTTGTCACTGACATAATGAAATAGTCAAGACATATTAAAATTGTAACTCCATACTGTCTAAAAGGGATATAGTTTCTTGTAATATTAACTTATAAACTCATCCAAAATAAGTAATCATAGATAAAATGCTAGATTATACTGGGGCATGTGGTAAACAGTCTAGTTTATTTTGTTTGAATGAATAGAATATGCTTATAACACAAGTGGATCACCATATAGCAATATTAGAACCTTCTAAAACAATTGAAAGAAAAAGTATATATACCTGATTTAGGTTTTAGATATAAAAATCAATCAATACAGTTACTAAATAAAAGATTTAAGTATTATTTGCAATTCACCCATTACTAGATATGTGTGTTACCTCAACAATATCCGAGTTGGTTCTGCTTTCATGAGGTTCATTATATTCTGTATACTTGAGAAGAACTTTGTCCATGTCAGTGCTGGCATACTGGAACAGTTTGTTAGAGCTGTTGAAAATGATGAGTGCTATTTCACAGTCACAGAGCACACTAAGTTCATAGGCTTTCTTCATTAATCCAAACTTTCGCTTTGTAAAAGTGACCTAAACAATTAAAAAAAAGTTTATTTTTATTAAAATAATTAGTTGTACTTGAACATAGGCTATCTGAAGAGGAGGCTTCTTTTCATACTGTGACAGATTTCAAAGGTGGAAAAGGTTCCCTAGCCTCATGCTCCATTATCAACCTCTCCTTCACCCATTTTGCTATAGTCCTACCATTTATCTCATGTAAGAGTGATTTATCTCTGGAAGAGTGATAACCTGGGGAGGTAACCAGAGAAAGAAGCAGTTGGCCAGTGGTCCCTTCTTATTAAGCTTAAATTACTGCCATAGAAACCCTAAATCCCATCCCAGGTAATCAATCCAGTATCACATAGACTTCAATCTCTAAACAACTAAGTACACCCGCTAATCCAACTCATATTTCTTCTCCCTCTCATGGCACCCACTGAAAATCACAGTCTAGAATCAGCAAATTCCCCGAAGTTCTCAAATTGTTTGTTGATTACTGCTTTCTCTAACTGCAACCTGTTACCTAAAGTCCTCTCAAATACAAACCAAAAATTTTGGGCTTGTTTTTAAATATTTACATTCTTTACAATCAAGACCCTAAGAATAGTCTTTTTTGTTCCCTACTCTAATCCAAACTTTTTTTCCTTCCTTCTCCTTCAAAAACCTCAGATTATTTCAAAGCGCAGGTCATGAAATTATATCACCCAATAGCCCACTTTTAGGTGAGCAAGAGTTATCTTTGATCCTTCCTATTCTAATAAGGGAAAGGGATGGGGAAAGAGAGTAGATAGGACCTTTTTGTACTTTTTGTTCAATGTTGCTGTGAACCTGAAACCACTCTTAAAAATAAAGTCTATTAAAAAATGGTTTTAAAAAAGTCAGTAAGTGTACTTTTGAATAATTTTTGAAATTATGAAACAACATAAATAACATTCAGCAGTTCTTTCCCCACTGGTATCTATCATATGCTTTTCTTCCTATGAGTTCTGGACTTAGAATTAATAACTGCAGGAGGTACCTAAGACGCAGAGGGTCTCCAGCAGGACAGAAAGCAAATGTTTCCACCATAATTATATTTCACAAGCATAAAATTAATTTAATATCCTCTTACATTAAAGGTATAATATATACATGTAAAAGAGAAGCAACAAAGAAAATGCATTTCAAATGTACAATTCATAGATGTTTATGTATTTTTTCAATTTGTTTCATTTCCTGTGTACCATGATAAAATTAAGAGGTAGTAGAGTAGTTCAATAGTTTTTGCTAATTTACCCAAGAATCTGTTTTCTTTATTCTAGTACACCAAATGCACTTAATGTGTACACATTAATATTTGATATTTGTAAAGCCTTATATTTCCTTTACATTTCTCTAATACAAAGTACAATACCCCATATATTATATGACCGAAATATTCTGTATGCTAGTAAACAGTGAAAACAGGGTTGAGAGAAAGTATTTTATTTAAACTTTAATAAGAAAATTTAACTAGCTAATGCAATCTAGCCTTTTTATGTCTGATATTTTATGTCTGATACCAGGGTACCAAAAAATGTATACATATTTTAAGGGATGTTATCTATGTATTAATTTTTCATTTGCCTTAATCAGAAGTGTCTGGACACTCATGGTAATCACTCTTGTAACTACAAAAGTCAAATGTGACTTGTATTTGTCTTTTGTTATCAATATACATTGAATATTTTAATAGTTTTTTCCCTTTTTAAAATGTGTATACATATGTGTTATATTTGTATACACACAGTAGATCATCCACAGCTGATCACCTCCCTTCACTGACCAACCTCCTTAAGTTGATCTGTCATAGTCTATACATCCACCACATGTGCTGAAGCCTCGTTCCTTGTATTGACCACTTCTATATGTTGTCACAGTTCACTAGAACCTGTGTTCAGAAGGGACTAAAACAAAATGGTGAACATATGGAGGGGCTCAACATAAGAAACTAGGCAAACTATACTAATGTGTACATGTGATATATGCCTGGTTTATGAAAATCAGATCAACTACAGGTGGTCAATGTAGGGAGATAGTCAACTATGGAGGTTCTATATAATAGAATATATATCTTGCGTGTTTATTTATATATATACATATGTAAATTGTGCCAAACATCCAAATTACCTTTTGTAAATTATCTTTGAATAAATAAAACCTTTCAACATCTGTTGAAATACTTATTTTTACAAATAGATATTAGAAAATTAAATACAAATGGGGAAAACAACATGGAAAAGAACAAGAAGATGCTGTCTGTAACTAAATACAAGAGTGTTCTGCCTGAAGATTAGATAGGAAAATATAATAAGTCATAAACCAAAACAAAAGCTATAATAACTTTAAATTTTGCTTGATTTTGGTGTCTTCGATTCAAAAGCTTTTGGCTGTCGTATAGAAAGTTTCCTTCTAAATACTAGCTTCGTAAGACATCTAAAAATGAAAAGTCAGTAAAAGCCACCTAATTAGTACAATGTTAATTAGCAATACTGTTAATACAACCTCATTTCAGTTCATAAATTTCATGTGACACAAGTTAA